ACAGATCGATGTCAAACCCTAGCTCTGCCACTTACACGTAACAACAGCAGCATCTACCGAGGATTCAATGCGGTAACGTCACGGCTTAGAACGTGCCTGACGCAGAGTAAAGGCCGTATGTGTTAGTCATCCAGACTGTAAACCCCACCATGGCAGAGATCTCTGGTTTGCGGTCATATCCCAAATGCCTGGAACAGTGGCAGGAACAGAGTGGGCAGGTGCACAGAAAACATGTTGAATGAATGAAGATCTTGCGGAAAGCCTAGAGTGAGGGGGGAAGGTCGTGTGGTTGGATATAGGGTCACTACATAATTTTTTATCTAAAACTGGACATCCTTGAGAGAAAAGGATCTTGATCCACATGACTGATTGTTTTGCACTTGGTGAGGTAAAGATCTGTATTTTTTATCCTATGGTCCTAATCCGACATACTTAATGGTGACCCGTTTCCCCACTGGTGCGCAATGGCAGCTTTGTCATGTGTCACATCCCCGTACATGTGCGAGGCTGTGGCACTCACTACTTGAATTCACTGGTTTCCTCTAGTCCATTGGTCCTGCCTAACATACATTATAAATATTGATGGAAATCGTCCCTTCCTCATTCTTCTTACCCAGTCTCTTCCAGGTCCTATGAGATTCCTCATGAATTTCATAATGATGTCTTTAATTTTTGTTTCTTTCTACAGGAGAGAGGGGGTGGTGTCATTCTCTTCTCTTCTTAATTTCTCAAGTTGATTGCTTAGGCTAAGGAGCTCAGTTCATTTGTTTTCTGTCCTTTCTCTTTTGAAATATCATTTAAGGTTGTACTTTTCCCTCCAAATGGTATAAGCTATATCAAACAAGTTGCAATGCTGAGTATTTTTAAATTTCCTCTGTGATTTTTTTTCTGGACACATGGGTTGTTTAGAAGTATATTTTCAATTTCCCAAAGACACAAGGGTTTTTCTAGCTTATCTTTTTATAATTTTTTTCCAAACTCAACTGCATCGTGGTGCAGAGGGGAGTATGTGGTTCCCATGATCCTGACTCTTTGCAAATTGTCTAGACTAGTACACAGTTTTGATGAATGCTCTATGTGGGTTTGGGAAACACTCTCCAGTTGTAATGCAGACACCACTCTATGTACGTCCACTGAGATTTGCAAATCTTTACCCTTTTTGACTTTCAGAGGTCAATCAATTACCAAGGATGGCTGCCCACTGGGATGGTAGATTAGTCACTTTCCCCTTGTTCTTTTGGTTGGTTGGTTGGTTTTATTTTTGGAGACTTTTTTTTAAGTCTGTCTTACAAATTTAGAATTGCTTTAACTTCCTGCCTCTCTTTTTTAAAGACACTTGTGATTACGTGATGATTAAGCTTTTACCATGTCCTACTGATTCTTTTCATCGATTTTTACTTAAAGCCCATTTTGTATTTTGTCTTATATTAATATAGCTATACTAGCTTTGTTTTGTATTTATTTGGTATATTTTCCCCATCCTTTAATCTTTAACCTTTCTATGTCTATGTCAAGCTTGTCCTTACAAACAACACAGAGCTGCATGTCGTTCCCCTTTCTTTCACGTTTCTCAGTTAGTCTAACGATCATCTTACCTCCACGATTAGTCTTTCACGTTGACTGTGCTTATTGATTTGTTTCTACCATCTGTTGACCTTGATTTGTTTCCGTCTGGTGCATTGCCTGCTTTTTCTTGTTTTATTTTCCTTTCACCCTTTCTTCCCCTTTCCTTAATTTGGATTGATTTTTTTTCCCCTTTCCATTTTCCCCTACCAAATTTCTACCCTTTTAGTAGATGCCCCCTGAGGAACTTGAATATGCATACTAAATAAGTGTAAAATGAATAAACAGCTGTACAAAGATGTAAGCATATTTAATTCTACCTGTCCTTGCTCACTTTATATCCTGTCATTTCCTAGAATTTAATTTTTATTTTTACTCCATAGTTGGACGTCATCGTTGTCATTTTATAGTCAATTTCAGTGCCTCGGGCTACTCACACACTTACCATTTTCACTGAGCACTATTGCTCCTTACACTCCAGGCCCACCTTCTGGGATCTTTCTAGGCAATCTGGAGATCCCTTTTGCTTGGATCACATTCTGAGCCCCCCTTTTTTTGGTCTATGAAACGTTAAACGTGTTGATGTTAGCATGAATTCTAGAAACAGACCTAGACTCTGCCGTTTACAAATTGGGTGAGTTTGAACAGCTACCTAACTTCTCTGTGCCCGTTTCCGCACATGTGGAATGAAGG